GCACTCTCCAGTGCGCCACCGGGCCGGCCCCACATTACTTTTAACTTTTCTTAATTATGGACATCACTTTTCCCCCCACAGATCAAGCTCCATCTTCCTGTAAAACCATGGAAGTCATCTAATTACTTTTATTAATAAAATCTCTCTCTCTCTCTCTCGTCTCTCACGTACACACACATACACGCACTTAGCAGGTTTGGGATCACTATTTTATTAAAAATTAATTTTTATTATTCTATACATTTGACTCTGAATCTTGTTTTCTTTTTCAAAATTCACTAGTAAGATCTTCCTAGTTATCTTGTATAGTTTCCCATCATTGCTTACAAAAGCTGCATAATTTTCCCTGATATGAATGTACCACAATTTATTAAACCATTATCATTCTGGTTATTCTCACGTTTGAATAATAATTCACCAAAATCGTGCATGTGCACATGTTATTTATTAACATTTATATGTCATTTATTTGGAAAAATTCCCTAAATTGGAATTCTTACAGAGAAGGGCAAGCAATTTTTAATTATAATAAATTGTATTCCAAAATGGCATAACATTGCACATTTATACCAGCTATACACAAGATATGCCCTTTTCTGTACATCCTATCCACTAACAGATTTGACTGCTTTTTGATTTTTGATGACCTGAGGAGTGTTGAATACTAAATAATGCAATTTAAATTTATTTCTTGCATAGGAATAACACTGGTTGTTGCTGATAATGGTTATTGAAGTACATTTTCATTGTAAAGTTTCCTTGTGATTCATGTGTGCTGAGAGCCTGGAGACATTTCATTAGTCACAAAAAAATCAAGAAAATCTTACTTCATCTAGAAACTTGACTAGGGCCCTAGCTTTGGGACTCACCAATTCCAATGGGACTTTAATGTCTTTTTTTCATAATGGGGATGATATTGTCTTAAAAGAAGTTGTCACAAAGTCACAAAAATAGAGCTTGTGTAGTTGCCCCTTTCAGCCTTTGATCTTGTAGCATCTGGTTGGCCTCCCTGCCTTTGATCTGTGATCTACGTGGAGAGGTAGGCAAGCTCCACTCTGGCCTGAGGCAGCAATTTGTGTCCTTCCCATGCCACCATGGATCACCTTCTGAGGTCCCCAGTGGGACACCTATCTAATGCTCATGTAACCCACTGAAACTTCACTCATCTCCATTGGTTAACCAAACCTTACTCATGGCCCTTTATTCTTTTCAACCCATTCCCTTCTATGGCAATTACTTTACCTTTACTGACAACCCCAATAAAGAATCCAGTCACTTTTATCTTTGTTTATTCACGGTGACCTATCTACACTATTTTACTGATGAATTATAGTTCTTAAGAAGTTAAAATATCTTACAAGAAAAAGAAGTGTAGCTGTGAATATGTACTTATCCCAGAGAGATTGTTTAGTATTTTCCACAGACAGGTAGGTAGGCGGAAGGTATGTAAAGTTTTTCCAGATCCTTACTTTCCCTTTTTCTCCTGAGTTCCACCTGCAGTCACTGTAGAAGGGGTCTAAACCTGGGTCTCGTAAGAGTGGCTTGAAAATTGCCGAGAGAGAAGGCATCTGTGCCTCACTCACCCACAGCAGACTTGCTGTTGTTACTAAAGTTTAGGTGCATTAGTTTTTGAATAACGCATATAATTTCTGTTTTTCTACAATATAAATGATCTGAAAACTTTTTCTTAACAGAGAATGATAAGGAAAGTTTCCACCCAGTATAGGTAAGGGAAATAGAGCCCAAATTTTGGGTTTTCCAGGCATTCAAGCGATAAAGAGAGAAAAGTTATGTTATGATTGCCCATGATAAGACCCACTTTTTAACTTATTAGTCAAATTTGTATTTCCAGAAAGTTGGTACTTCCAATGATGAAAATTAGTAAGATTGGAATCACCAGCAACAATAAACAGAGATGAGTCTCAACGACACTGACAAATGTCTCAATATTACAGGCACAGAAAGAGAAGATTGGTACTTTGTCTATGCTTATCATTGGGTTTGAAGAACAGCAGTTGAATTGATCTTTTGGATAAACAATTAGAAACTGATTAAGAAAAAGCTTCTAACAATTCTTTTATGATTGAATTAATACTGTAGATTGAATTCATCCATGAGATTTATCTATAGGGCTGCATCAAATGCTTATGCTGAAAAATGCAATTATGAACACTCCTTTAGTCTTTGCCTCTGGATTTTCTAGAGTTTTGTTTTCTATCTTGTCTATTATGTGTTCTGTTTAATTACTGGATGTTTTCCCAGGACCTTCTGAAGAGCTTCCAGCACATCCTTGTTTCTCAAGCTGTAGATGAGGGGGTTTAGCATGGGTGTGAGGACAGTGCAAAATACAGACACAGCCTGCTCCTGCTCAGGGGTGTGGGAGGAACCAGGTGTCATATACATATAAACACATGGTCCTAGATAAAAACTTACTACCATAAGATGGGAGGTACATGTGGCTAAGGCTTTCCTTCCACCTTTGAGGGATTTCATATGAAGAACAGTGAGAAAAATGAGGGTGTAGGAAGTCATGATAAGTCCAAAAGGGATGACAATAAAGGCAATGCCCATCACAAAGACAACCAGCTCATAGGTGGCAGTGTCTGTGCATGAGATCTTCATAATCGCTGGCATCTCACAGAAAAAATGGTGGATTTCCCTGGAGCCACAGATAGGTAGATTCATGGTATAGATTGTATGAGCTGTTGAAGCTAAAATACCCCCAATCCAAGACACTACGGCCATTTGCACACAGACCCCCTGGTTCATGATGACTGCATATCTCAGGGGGTTACATACAGCTACATAACGATCATAGGCCATGAGGGTCAAGAGGATGCATTCAGCACCTCCAAGAGTAAAGAAGAAAAATATCTGAGTTCCACAGGCAAGATGTGTGATGTTCTTCCTTCCAGAGAAAAAGTTGATTGCCATCTTTGGAACAGTGCTGCTGATGAGGGCCAGGTCTATGAGAGAGAGCTGGCTGAGAAGAAAGTACATTGGGGTGTGGAGCCTCAAGTCCATCCATATCAGGAGGAGCAGGATAAAGTTCCCAGTGACTGCAGCAAGGTAGATCAGGATGATAGTGTGAATAAGGATACAGACGTACTTCATATTGGGGAAGAGTCCCAGAAGGATAAAATCTGTTGTAAATGTTTCATTTCCTCCCTCCATGGCTGGGACTGATCTGGTTGAGCCTATTAAAAAAAAGGCAAGGAAAACAAAAAGCAAATGAAATGTTATAAGACCTTTTGAAATATGCTTTATTGGTCAGCTATTGTTTCAATAATGTAATGTAAAAGGCAATTCTCCAAATTTCAGTGTCTATGAGAACAAACGTGTGATTTCGTAAATTCCATGTCTGCGAGTCAGCTGGGTGTTCTGCTGTGCACTGATGGCCGATCTCAGGCACACTCCACTGCACGTCTCTCATTCTGGGGCCTGCTGCTCTCATGGGGGACGGCAGAAACCAGAAACAGGCAAGTAGAACCACATGCTTCAGCTTAAGGCCCGAGCTTGGAACAAACTCTGTCACTTTCAACCACATTCCCGTGACTAAAGCAAGTCACATGTAGAAGGCAATATCAGTAAAGTGGGGAAGTAAACTCCACCCACAGTGAATCATCGTGGTAATGGGGAGTGAAGAAGGAATTTGCAGCAATTAGTGCGTCTATTACAATGCTTCTCAGAGCTTCTGTTATGACTCTTCTCAATTTCATGGTGTAGATGCTGGGTTCTCAGATATTTGATTATTTAATTCTTGAACTTCTGCTTCGTATGTTCTGTTAAGCCCCAGTGATGAAGACGAACACATTTCCTGTGATCACAAACAAATTTTACTACAGCCAATTACCCGAGGTCGTATCAACAGAGGAATGAGCTGATACAGTTAGGACTGTGTTTTTCTCTAGATTCGTTCATAGCATCCCAATATAAACCACATCGGGATAATTTTAATAATAATCATTAAATGCGATTGCATGAACTGTAAATGAGAAATTATTTTATGCCTACATTCCAGTTGGAAGATACCCATCCCACAAAATTATGGCAGTAGAAATGGGAAGAAAAAAAAAAAACCCCTCTATGATACACAGCGTGTAACAGCTTTGAAATTAAGCCTGGAATGTAGTTTTT